AATCAAACTAACACGAGCTCGTTCGCGAACGTTCGATAATGTTCGCAAACATTAATTTAATATAATTTTATATATTTTTAATAAAAAATCTAAAAAAAAAAAACAAATTTCGAGGTTAATCAAACATTTAATTTGTTTATGTATTAAACTATTTGAATACGAACGAGCTCGAACTTTGATGAACAATTAAAGGAACGAGCTCGAACATGATTTTTTGCTCAAAAAATAAACGAATGAACACGAACATTGTTCGGAACGTAAATAAACACGTGAACATTACATAAAAAAAAAATAAATAAATAAATAAAACAGAGGGATGCTTTTGACTTATGCTTCAAATTCGTTGGCTGCGGGTAAAGAAAAAAAAAAGAAAAAAAAAATGGTGATATGGTCGACACAAATAGGAGTGCTTTTGGTACTTGGGTGGGTCGTAATATGGAAAATCAGAGGAAATTTGGTCTCAAAAGTTGAAAGCATATAAAAATGATCAATGAGAGTGGCGAAGAGCTCTTAACATCCATCCCACTTTCCCAGGCACAAAGGATCAAAATTAACATGAACACCACTTGTGATCTAAAAAGGTTGATTGACAGACGAGAATCTTACAACAGTTTTTGGCTAAGTGATGCCAAAAATATAATAATGTCAAATACACAAGAATGAGATTCTTTGCTTCAATTTTCCCAACGATTGTGACCAGTTATGTCAAAAGTGGAGCCATTATTACCAAAAATTGAAAAGTTGTACCAACAGGAGAGTAATAAGCATGTGGTGCTAGATCAATAAAATTGCTGCTGGTGACATATAATATTTACACGGGGGCTTCAACGTTACTCACCCGGTCTATAGCTGGTACTAGAAAATGCACATGTTGAAGTCAGTAACTTGAAATGGAACTCTCAACAGGAACCAACCAAAACACAACATTGGTAACATTCAATAGTAAGGCTTTACTCCACAAATGGAATACTCAATATACATATTCATCGGCAGCACAATATACACAAACATCTTGAAACTGTAACAGAACTCAAAAAATGAGTGACATGGAAAGAGAAGCAACATTCTCCAAACCCCTCTCTCTATAGTAACAACATTTGAAACAAAACCACACACAATCATCATACATATATCAATCATGGGGCAGGTTGGGCCGTGACGGCAGCCAAGATATCAGCATACCCAACCACACCAACCAAGATATCGCTGTTATCATCATCATCATCATCGACTTGAGTAACCCAAATGTGTGTGGCCCTATGGGACAACATCTGTGCCATCACAGCTGCCAACGAGCTCGTCTCCCTACACGTAAGAGGGACACTCCTCCCCTTATACATCCCGAAATTCCCATATAATCCAATACTCCTGCTACTGAATATCTTCCTCATCTTAGAATTATTATTAGTATTGCTACTCGGATTTTCACCATTACTAATAATATTATTATTATTCTCCTTAATACCCTCACCTGCCATGGAGGAGGAGGAGGAGAAGGAGGAGGAGGAGTTGTTTTCTTCCTCGATTCCCAAGATGAATTGGGCAGCGGATAGGTTGGCGAGTGCCCAAGCAGCGGTCAAAAAGTCAGACTTCCAGAGCTTCGCGGAGGATATCTCCCCAATGATCTTCTTCTTCTTGTTGCTGTCGCTGCCGGTGGGGTCCACCACGACAATGGCCACCGCACAAGGTTCCTGTGGATGCATGACGGCGGCCTCCGCTGCCGGGCGGGAGGCCTCCAGCCAGCAGTAGTTATGGCGATTGACGGCGCCGAGAGAGGCGATGGAGGAAAGGGGCAAAGGGGCCAGGGCCCCCAGGCAGCCGATAAGGAACCGCAACACGTCCTCCCTCGACAGGCAGCAGAACCTGTCTTGCACACACGATGTTGGAAGACGGTTAGTGCTGTTGGCAGCGGATGAAGGGTTCAGGAGGCTGCTGTTGCTGCTGTTCCTGAGCCACTTTCCGTTGTACAGAATGGAAAACCGTTTGCTAATTCCTCTCCAAGTCAGGCTCTTTGGCACCACAAGTCTCTTTACTCCTTGTTTCATCATCTCCAAAGCATCTATTAATCTTTTATATATATATTATCATCACCAAGAGTTAGAGCTTGATCAGTTTCTCACTTATTTACACAGTTTCAAACTCTAAGGAAAATACAAAATACAACCAGATATTATGTATTAACTTAATTTCGTTAGTTTTGTGTGTTTTATGTAATCATCACTGATCATAGTTTCACTAAATCCCTACAGGTTTGCCTGTTTGGGGTGATGAAGAACATTAATTTTGACATTTGCTTCGGAACAATGGCTTCATATATGTACAGCCTCACACATTCAATCGTCAAAATTTTCAGCATCACAAGTTCATGGTTCGGAATCATTATCAATCCCACAGGCATAGACTTTTATATCATGGAATTTGGAAAGGGAGTGTTTTTTATATGGTAATTACAATTTTAGTACTTTCTGACCAAAGACCAATAGCACCCACAATTGTCAGGTTCTAGCAGATTGATTTTTCTTTTTCTGTTGGGCTTATAGGTACATCACTACTCAAGTAGCTTTAACACAAAACGGAATCATACATAACAAAGCCATGAAAGAATCGAGCTTTCCAAATAAATATATTTCTAAAAGCATTGCAAGTAAAGCGTTCTATAGCAAAGTGAGCTGATTTGCATGGATGTTTTCTCATCTTGACATACAATAACAATACAATCACCATTTCTTCTTGATGGTGTGAATTGAAGCACAAGATATCGGACCTCTATGACGATATAACACCATATACAGGTCCAACAGTAACAATTTACTGAAGAATTTTTTTCGTCCTACACACACTCACACACACACACACACACACCAATACTCATGGGATGCAACAAAAAATGCAAATCTAAACACAAGTGGAAATAGAACGAACCTTGTGCCAGGATCAACAACCTTAAGGGCGGAGCTATTGGGAACAACAACATGAGAAACAGCTGTGCTCAAGGCCTTATCCTGATCGGCCAAGCATTCGTCTCTGGCCAAGAAGGCCACAATGTCCAGCGCGTTGAGAATCCCGACGAATCTCTGCTGCCTGCTTTCGGCACTCTCAGCCGCCGCCGTCTTTGGCGATCTGTTCCTCCACACCGGAATCCCTCCTTCCGATGTATCCCCGATCGTCCGGATGGCCGCAGCCACAGTCTCCGTCATCCAAAACTCCGACAGCTCGGGCTTCCCCACCGTCAGATCTCCCACCACGTGGTACAGGAACAACGACGCCATCGATCGATCGATCGGTCAAATTCAGATTGAAATAAAACTAAACTGAAGCTCAATTTTCAGATTTGATGATTGTTATAAGAGAGAGTGGAGGAAGATGAGGAGAAGGTGAAAGGGGGCAATAGGGAAAGAGGTGATAAAAATAGAAACTGGAGATGGGAAGCAATTAGGAGCCATAGATTTGTATTACTATAATTGATTCAAAGCAGGTGTTGAAGACGGCGGCAGCAAAGCCCATGAGAAAGAGAGAACCAACAAACCAGCAGCAAGCAAAGATCTTCTTCTTCTTTAGCAAAAAACTCAGTTGATGATGTTTATTTGTGTGATGATTGAGACAGATTAATGGGCCGGGCCGGCACGTTTTTTCTTTTACTATATAAGATAAGATATAGAGTGAGAGAGACAGAGAGTGAGAGTGAGGCAAACAAATCATGATTGATTAAGGGCTCGATCGTTTATGAAATAATTTGTTCAAATTGAGTCATTTTGGTTAACTATAGTTAATTTTAAAAAAGGTAGTATGGTTAATTGTAGTAGAAATTTAAGAATGTATTAAAATAATATTTAAAATAAAATAATTAAAATTGATTTGATGTAAAAGTAAGAGATAAATGATTGGAAATGATAGGTAGTTAAAATTATGTGAGTGGA